GGGGGGGGGGGGGGGGGGGGGGGGAAGTGAGCAGATCGAGAGCACGGAAGGGATCCACTCTGCCTTCATGCGCCGGGAGGTGCGAGATGTAAGGCGCTCCTAGACTCTGGCTGGATTGAGTGAAGATTGCAATCGAGGCGCTCGTCCACGGGACCTTCGTGCCTTGGGCGAGTTACGTTGGGTCCGGCAGAGATGTCCGATGAAGTGCCGGTTGAATGATGCGCCGTGCTGTATCGGTAGGACGCCGGCAGAGCGTTCGACACACAATGGTACTGGACGACTGCGACTGATGTATTCAGATGTGGCCGAGGAGCGAGTGTGATAATGATTCTATATCCATGCTAGTGAGCGAATATCTACTGTAAGTACCGAGTGAGTTAGCCGCACGGCCAGCGTGTGGTAAAGGCGTGCGAACGCTTGCGCGCACAAGCCGACCTGCGGGCGTGCAGGTGAATTGATATGGTGTTACGCCAAGGGCGCGACCCAAAATGCAGGTACCGACCCCACAGGTGGGATATCGGTGTCTGAGCCGGACTGTCGGACTGGTCCAACAGTACCTGCAGCACGACGCTGAGCGTTGAGCTTAGCGTTGAGCTCCTCGATCTCCTTGGCGTTGAACTCCTCGATCTCCTTGAAGCGACAGTACTCGTTGTTGATCTTCTTGATCCTAGACTCCGGAGTGAAGGCGAGCACCGGCTTTCGGGCGACCTTCTTGAAGTAGGCATCGATCAGATAGATGCAAGTGCCCACGTCATACTTCTTGCGGCTGACAGAATCGAAGGGCACTCTCTTCCAGCCCTACGCCAACGTCGCCGTTCACATAGCCAAGTCCCGTGGGACCAGACCAGATCGTCTGAAGTGTAGCGTCTTCGCGACCCAGGGGCCAGTCGTACCTCTCCATGACGGATCCGTGTCAAAAAACACAGGAGGGAAGTGCATTTGACGTCAAAGATCGGGCGACTTATCCCCACTTCGAAGCGAAAGTCGAGTTGAGGGTCTCTTGGGAGCACATCGACGAGGAAGCAGGTCCGTCCATTCGAAGCCTCGTGGCAGCAAACGTGCAGGAGATGGCGAACCGTGAAAGGGGCGCCATGGACGAAGCGAAAGGGCGAACCGGCCTCGTATATCTTTGGCTTTGGTCTTCCAGGACATCATAGGTCCACCGCGTACCGATGGAGATGCTCTGGTGCGCAGCGCCCGGCTGAGTCGAGCAAGCGTTTAGTCGCTGCGCGTCGCTCAATTTCAGTTCGCGTGCTTCGCACCCGCGCGCAACGATGAAATCGCTCTGGGCAAGTGACTCGAATCAGAGCCATCCAGAGCCATCCATCCTCCAGGTGTGGTGCCTGCAAGCGATCCGGCCCATCAGACTCGCTCGATGAAATTCGGAAGATTAAGCTTTCAGGTCTATGCAAGGCAGAAGGTCTCGTCATGAATGCGGCGTGGTGCCGGACTGGAATGAAGCGGCTGTCACGGCGACCTTCGTCAATTCGCACAACTGTCACCTTACACCCGTCGCCCAGCTTGGTTCATCTCAGTCGGACGGCTCAACAACCTCTCTTTCCCACGCTGATGAGGCTGTCGACGGACCAAAGATTGTAAAAGCACATTGGTTGCAAAAGGCGATGGGCATGGACCTCTTGAGCATCCCGAAGCAAGAGTGGTGACTATCGAGTGCTTCTGCTTGTGCTGGTGTGAAAGGTGGGAGACAGCGGGCACGTTGTGCGTCACTGTCAGATGAAACAGAAAAACTATTGTGAAACTACTCGGAACAGTGCATATCGAGGACACGGTCAGAGCTGCGCATCCGACAAGGACGAGGAACGTTGCAGCGACTGAAGTGCAGGACAGCTTGTGCTAGGGCGAAAAACGAACGCGGCGCAGGCTGTGCGTCCTAGGAATTTTCTTGGGGACTACTTCCAGGTCGTCAGTGTCGTGACCGCTGTCGTCGGAATCGTCGTCCTTGTCTTCTTCAAACTCGAGAGTGTCGATATCGAGTCCGCTCCACTCTGCGTTGAGCCGAGCGTTGAATCGAGAAATGTCGTCGAAAGATGTTTTGTCTGAGCGAATGAGCTTGATGGTCGAGTCCAGGGTAAACTGCAGGACATCCGCGTTATCGAAGTGCGTCGGTACAAGGTCCTTGACGTAGATCAACGAGTCGGCTTCGAAGACCATTTTCTCGGCTACATATTGGTAGAGCTTGGTGTGGCTTGGGACGAAGAAGACCATCACGTTCGCGTCGCCCCAGCCGAGCTTGACGCGAACCCAAACGCACTCGGGAGGGGACCCGCCGCCTCTGGTGATCGTATCGATCTTTCCGACAAAACTCATCTTGGTCTCCGCATCGAAGGGCACGACATAAGGGCTCGAGCTCCTGAGGGTCCACGAGTGCGGGACGGTGATAACTTTGCTGATGATGTCGGTGCCAGGCAGCCCAAAGATGGCAGCGGCTTCGGCAGTGTCGGCCTGACCAGCCTCGTGTTTGACGACCGTTCCACCGCTTCGCTGCTGGTCCTCAATGATCTCCTTCAAAGTCCTGGCGAGGCGCTTCGCATGTGCCTCGACTACCACGGCATTGGCTACTGCGGTTACCGAGAGCCCATACTTTGACAGGAAGCGCCGAAACCTGATCGTCCCTGGTGGAGCGCCGCCAGCGAGTCGGGAGGCTACGGGAGCCATTGAGCCTGAGGACTCCTGACGAGCGAAAGCTTGTATATCAATGCAAACCGAGTCAGTGGACGCAGCTATTGGAGGCGAGCTAGATGAGACAGGACTTACAAGTCTTGCGGGAAGGAAGAGGGCAGAGATATCGAGTTATGTGGATGTTGCTGGAGGAGTCGCAAGTAGTGGCGGTGGGTGAGTGAAGACGGGGAGGGGATGCATAACGACGCTTCTTTTATGCCTTCGAGGCCCAGCTTATTCCGCACTTACACCCGCACTCACGTCGGTCTGATGTACCTGCTTCCGCTGACCATCGTGCGGATAGCGTGCAGCGGGTTGCTTCCGCACGGTGTACCCGCACCCGCTGTATCTGCATGACAGCAGCAGCGGACCTGAGAGAAAACAAGTCCAGAATCTTCCGCAACACGCTTGCTGCGGTTCGCTTACTGCCGGTCACTGCGGAACCGGATACAGTATCGGCGACGGCTCGGCATACCCACGCCTTTTCGGAGCGGGTCGATCTGTAGCCTGATCTCCTCTCACTGACGGAGAGTCTGAGCTTAAGCTTTTTGCAGCCGCAAAAGCAAAGCTTGAAGCGCTGCAGCCAATGATGAGCGTAGCATATGCACATGAACGGCGGTGCATCATGGGATTGCTATCCGTCTGCGAGCGGGAGCGAGACTCGTTCCGCATTTTCTTGCGGGAGTGGAGTGCGGATGTCAAAAACCGCGAGTGACAGGGCTGGCGACGCCACATCACGCGCTGAGCGCTGAGCTCCGCACTTGTCAACTCTTACTGCGGACCGCTTCGACATCCGGCACTTCTCAACGCTGACGATAGACATGGCAGCCTCGCACGCCGCTTCAGGATGGCTCAGCTTCCTTGTGTCCGGTGATCCAGCAAGCTGCAATAAAGTTCGCCTCAAATTTGAGTTCTGCACCGTTGTGGAAAATGGCGACACAAAAATGGTTGAAATTTTATGGATATGCATCTACGCTATGCTAAGCATGCGGATGTGGATTCTACGAAACTGTGCCGTCATGCGGCCTGTTGGGATTGTATCAGGGGAAGTCCTGGATGATCTGGGCGATCTCGGGCTGGGCGAGGCCGCGGTACTCGAGATGCTTGCGCTGGAACTCGGCAGCCTTGTCCTCGGAGGTGGCGCGCTTGTCGGCAAAGGCGCCGTTCTGAGCGACGAGGCCGTTGTCGAAGAACGTGAAGGGCTCGCGGCTGGAGAGGCTGGGAATGCGGCCGAGGAGGAACTCCATGTGGCGGTAGGCAGCGCTAGGCTGGTACTGCGGCACCATGTGGCCACTGAGGTCGATGGTGACGAAGGTGAGCTTTCGCTCGGTGCGCGTCTTGCCCATGATGCCCGAAGCGGCGAGCGTGGCCTCTTGGAAGTCGTTGTGGAAGGGGACGTAGAAGTCGTCGGTGATGGGCTGCTGGAAACCCTGCTGACCGCCCCAGGTCATGTTCTGGATCGAAAGCAAAGTGCCGTTCATGAGCAGCACCATGTCGAGCATACCGTGACCAATCACCGTCCTCTCGACGCGGTCAATGACGCCGGGAAGCACAGTGGTCGAGCTGAGGTGACCTTTCTCCGCACCAGCGTCGAGACCGCTCTTGGTGGTAAAGACGTTCTGGGTCGAGCACTCGGACCAGGGGTAGTCGACGGGCGCATTGATGGCCTTCTTGACGTCGGTACGGTTGAAGTAGAGCGAGGCACCGGGAGGCAGGTAGTCGCCCGAACCAGGACCGCCGTTGATGTCCCACAGAATCGGGCAGGTAGTGGCCACCTGGTAGATGTCAAAGCAAGGATTGGCGTCGAAGATGGCCGAGAAGACAAAATCGAAGATCAGGCAATCGTCGGTAGGCGGATGAGGGTCCGGGAACTTGCCCTTGGGCGGGAAGGTGAGGTGCTTGTTCATGTACGCCGTGTAGCCGCACTTGTCGTCCATGTCGCGGATCTGCTGCTTGATCGTGTCGTTGAAGGGGAAAAGTCCGCCCCAGTAGTCGACAAAGGCTGCGGTGGGGACCTGCTCGGTGATCGAGTCGGCGTTGATGGAAGGGTCGTAGATCATGATGCCGGACACGTTGAAGTACTCCTTGTTCTTCTCGTCGAGCATGCTCGAGGCAATGTTGGGGACGTACTGACCGGCGTAGCTCTCGCCCGTGATGTAGATGGATCGGTTGTGCAGGTCAAACGTGTCCGCAAAGTTGCGGTAGAAGCCCTTGAACTGCTCGGCGAGCTCGGCCTCGGTCGAGATGTTGGGCTTACCCTGGGAGAAGCCCGTACCCACGGGTTGTTCGACCCAAACCATGTTGGTCAAATTCTGCCAGGTCCACGGATTCGGTACGGGCTTGTACGTGCCGTATTGCCAGAGCCAGGGGCCGTTTTCCTGCGACAGACCCTCGAGCGACGAGCAACCGGGACCACCGTTCATCCAGATGCTGATCTCGTTGCTCGCCTGCGGGTTCTTGGAGGGGAAGTACCAGAAGTACAGCTTGCGCGTCTCGTTGGGGTCCTTGCTGATGGGCATCAGGCCGGCGTACGACTCGCCAATGTCAAAGTCGATCTCGGGCACGCCCGTGCCGTTGACCGCGAACGGCTTGGTCTTGTCGTTGAGGTGGATGGGCTCACCCGTCACCGCCGAGGCGGAAAACTTGTTGGCCATCAGGCGCGAGTTGCGCTCGGCAACGCGCTGGTGCACATCCTTGTAGTTCGAGTTGAGCTTGCCGACGTGCTGCAGGCCACGCGCGCAGGTCTCGTAGACCGCCATGGTGGCGAGCAAGAGAGCGGAGGGAAGCAGCTTCATCTTGCGGCGTTCTAGGTCTATTCGCCACGGTAAGGAAGGTCAGGTGAAGGAGAAGCAAGCGGGCGAGAGCCAAAAGTCTGGGGGTATATATCTTTTAGTTGCGTCTGGGCATTGTATGCGCCTTCCGTGGGTACGGTTCAGTGCATGCACAGTGAGGAAGGGGAAGAGCAACCGAGCTTGAGTTGGAAGCCGTCGAGGGGCGGAGCGGCGCATATACCGCCGTGCATAAGATTGGGGGACCCGTCATAACCGACCGGCACCGCCACCGTGCACCTCAGGGTTCCGTCAAGGAATCAACAAAAAGGCAAAGGCGAAAGCGAGCGGCTGCCGAGCTAATCGAAGCGTTCCGAGGAGGAAGTTTTCCGAACCAAGAAGGCCGCCGCAGGCTGGCGTCTTTTTCTCCTTGGCCGACGAGGGTGAGCTCGGTTGCTTTTGCTTCCAGCCGCCGTGGGGAACCGTGCACGATAAGGGGCCGGCGACAAGCGTATGCACGCAATAGAGAACAACGCGGGCTAGGCCGGTTGACAGTTTCTGTCACAAAGAATCAGAGGCCGGTGTGGCAAGGCATGCACAGTTGCTGGTACATGCGAGTGGCTGCGCTCTTTGGGGGGTCACACGATGCTCAGTGACCTCGCCTGTGTAACCAGCAGCGGCTCGGTTGGGCAGAGGTGGAGGGCAGCCCGTGCAAGTCGAAGCGATAGACAAGGATCTGCATGAATCGACATTCGCCGTTCAATTTGGAAGCAAAGCGGGCTGCCGAGACGAGTCAAAGCGAAGGAGCGCGCGATGCTGGAGCGGCTGCCGAACTGTGCAGTGACGGAAAAAAAGTCGCCCCACCAACATTCATTTCGGCGCTAGCAGCTTAGGCGAGTGCGGAGGCCGCCGTCCCGGCGAAATCATCCTCACCCAATCGAACCAACCGCAGGCAACGCCTTGGAGTCATGCCCGGCGGCAATGCAGCCTTGCCTCATCCCATCAAAGCTTCCTTCTTCGGCTCGTTCGGTTCATGGCCCTCCGCAGGCCAAACCACATGACGATTTGGCTTTGCCGTACCACTTCATCCAACGTTCGGAAGCTTGTCTTCCGTGTCTATGTTAAAGACTTCATCGCACATTGAGCATAATGGCAAGAGTCTGTCTATCGGCGGCACCGTCTCGCTGATGCTTCCTGTCAATTCAATCGGGCGTCACCCTTGTTCCGACGTCCCGATGGAACGCTCCAGTGTCCGCCTCGCCACTGTTCCGAAACTTTGAACACAACACAACGTACACTACGATGACTACGCACGAATCGTGTAAAACCATTTCAATAAAGACATCCCTATGATTCCCAATACTATCCCTGAAGCGTACATATCACGGGTGTGCGGAGCGAGGCTCAAGCTCAAGCTCGGTATCCATGGCACGCTGGAGGTCCATCTGGATGCCGCTATGGTCGGCATTGAGCTGCTGAGCCGAGACGGAGCTGGGCGGCGGACCTGCGTGGCGCTTTGCGGCGGCGCTGATCGCCTCGAGGTTGGACACGGTGGGCTTGAAGTGCAGCATGCCGCTCTCCCACTCCCACCACCGCTGCATCTCTTCGAGGTTGTCCTCGACCGCCTTGCATTTGGCCGTCTCGATGGTGAGCCGCGTATCGTAGCGCAGTGCCGCGGGGGCCTTGCGTGCAAAGATGGCCTGGTCCGTCGGATGCATGGTCACGTACACCGAGCGCAGCTTTCGCTTGCGTGTCACGAGCGCGTACAGGCTCGCCTCGTGCGCCGCACTGGCGGCCGTACCTGCGCTGCCGAGCGACGACGAGAGCGCCGAGTCGGTCATGCCCGATCCGCTGGCGCTGAACGGGTTGGAGCGGTAGCGCGAGTCGCCGTGACGGCGACGACGCTTGCGGTTCTCCAGCTCGCGGTACGTGCCCGAGCTCGACGACGACGTGCCGAAGCGGAAGCCCGATCCAGCGCCTTCGATGGCCGTGGCGCTGCTGGTGGCTGCCGCTGCCGCTGCTTCCTCCTCGGGCGTCGGAATGTCGAGGACAGCGCACAGCGTCTCCACCACGCCCACGGGGTGGCCCTCGACGTGCGGCTGCCACAGTGACCAGCGGAAGTGGCGCAGGCTGGGCAGCTGTCCTCCTAGTCCTCCCACTGCCCTCGCTTCGGACGGGAAGAGCATGCAACCCGAAATGTGCAGCGTGCGCAGCGTCGCAAACGCAGGCGACGGGATCAGCACGCCCGGCAGCGGCCACAGGCTCTGAGAGCGTGTGTCGTCCGCCGGGAACTCGGGGCTCGAGATGCCATGCATCTTCTGGTGGTAGCCCAGGCGCTCGCGTCGCGTCGTCTTGATGGGATGGCCAAACAAAAGCGGTGAGCTCCAGTACGGCGGCGGCGGTCCGAGCGACAGACTCTTGAGCTTGCCCATGTTGCACATTGCGCGACGCCCGCAGATGCTGCGTTCCAACACGCCGTCGAGCGCCAGGTCCTTGAGGCGGGGCGTGAGCATCATGACTGCGCGCAGGCTCTGCAGGATGGAGCCGAGCGTCATTTCGGAGAGCAGCCGATCCTCCTCGTTGCGCCGTTGCTGGTTCTCTTTCTGCAGGCTGGCAAATTCGTTGCCGTCGTCGAGCCCATCGAGCGGCTCGTCCAAGAGGCCGGTGCGAAGCGCCGAATCGAAGCCAAACATGCCGCCGCGTGAACCCATGACGCTGTTGCCTGCGCCCGCGCGCTCGTTGCCGTTGGCAAAGTTGTGTTCGCCTCCCCACAGATCCGCCTGGTCTTCGGGCTTCTGCTGCTCGGGCTCGACGAACTCGGGCAGGGCGAACGTCGAGGGTGCGGATGCGGCGTGGCTCTGACCGGACGGACCGGGACGCGCAGGCTGGCCTTCGTGCACGATAGACATGTCCATCCGCGATGTAGAGGCCTCCATCTCCGAGTCGTAGTCGCTGCCCTCGCTGTAAGAGTCGGCTTCGGATTCGGTGTCGCTGCCAGAGTCCGATAGGCCGTCGAGGTCGCCATGGCGTCTGCCGTTCCAAATTTCCTCCCTCTCCGGAGGCGGCGCACCGCCGACGAGGAGATGGCTGGCGCCCGAGCGAGCAAAGAGGGTGGGATGGGTGAAGTGGTTCTTGGTGTGGAGCTCGGGCCGCGGTCGCAGCGCTCGCCAGGTGCGAAGCTTGGGGTCGCGCGCCGAGTCGGCCTGCCACACCCGTCGGGCGACGATGCGGGCGCGCGCTCTCGACTTTGCTAAGAGCCAGACTACCCACCATTCTACCTTCTGGTCGCCGACTTTGGCGAGTTCGGACCAGTTTTGAGAACGCCATGCGGGTTTCTTGACGCCCATCTCTGCAAAGCAACGGTCGCGCTCGGCGTCGATTTCGTCGAGATCGAGCTCTTCCGAGTAGATGGGTTCGTCGTTGTCGACGACGCGAGCCGTGTTGGGCTGTACGGAGGTCTGGACGTCGCCCCAGTCGAGCGGATCGTTGTCGGTGCCTGGGATTCGGGTCTCTGCGCCCTGGGCGGAGAAGGGGGTGACCATATCGGTGTCGAGAAGGCTCGGGCCGGAGTCGCTCTTGTTTGGGCGCCTCGACGGCGGCGAGTTGGATCGAGGTGAGGCAGTTGATGATGACGAGGCTGATGTCGGACTGGACGAGGACGTGCGCGCGCGTGCAGCTGTGAGAGAGAGGCGCTTGAGCTCGAGGAAGAAGGCGCGTTTTGCGACCTCACGAAAGTGCTTGACGAGATCGCGACCGTCCCAGAGACGCAGGACCCACTCATCCACGCCGATCCAGTGCCAGCCGCGCGAGTCGGGGTCGCCGGAGCCGGGCGCATCAATGTGAATGCCTCGCGGCGCGCGAGAAGGATCGATGGTGCGGATATTGGCCTGGACGTTCTGTGCGGCCCATTGTGCAATCCTCTTCTCGAATGCGGGCGAAAGAAGGTTGGGTGGAGCGATACCCTGTGCGAGACACTTGCGCACGTCGTCGATGGTGGCGAGGTCGATGTTGAGGCTGTATGCGCTCTGGCTTCCGCCTAGGCCAAAGTTGAGCGCATTGGTGGGGATGCTCTCGCCTTGGTAGGTATGGCCGACCCAGAGGTGCTTTACGAGGCGGCCGAGCGCGGGTCTGTTGGTGAGGGTGCGGGCGAAGAGGGAAAGACTGATGGGATCCGAGAGGCGCGGGCCCTTGTAGAGGATGGATGCGATGTAGGGATAGTGCTGGGGCGAGAGGAGGAGGAGCTTGAGCGTTGTGCGGACATCGAGATGAGGTGCGGACGAGCGAGCCTTGAGACGGTTGACGTCAAAGTCGGAGGGTTCGCGGAACTCGTCGGTGCGGAGAGGTGGAAGGCTGCAGGCAAGGTAGAGGATGTGGTCGACGATCTCGTCCGGAAGCTGCACCCTCATCGCCGCCGCGCTCCTGTGGCTGACAGCGCAGCGTGTCACGACAGTCTGCAGAAGGACACGGTGGTGGGCTCGATTCGGTGTGTCGGCGGTGCCAGAGCTCGGATGGTGAGGTTGAACCGAGGCGCAGTGAGCAGGCCTTGAAGCGTCAGTCGAACGAGCGTGGTGCAGCGTGCAGCTTGGATGTGTGCGACGGATGGAATGGTGGCCGAGAAGAAGGACGAAGACGAGATGATGGTTGATGGAGTGGGCGGACCACGGATGCAAAGCAGGGGCGAGGTCGCGGTTGGTTGGGTTCGGGCGGGTCCAAAAATCAAAGTGGAGCCACCACGCCTTGGCTGGGCGTCGGGGCTGAGAGCGCGACGACGGCTCGCTACCGGAAAGAGCAGCAGCGCCGACTCTCTGTGGCCCCGACCGGGCGTTGAAAATGTGGACCTGACTCGCGGGCGTTGCTGTGCATGCTTGCCTGTCTCATGCTCAGGGAGCGGAGCGAGCTGGTTCAACCGGCAACGACACACACACACACAGTAAGGACGAAATTCAAATTTCTAGAGGGCGGGCTGCCCGCGCCCTTTGTCTCGAGTCGCGTGCGTGGGTGCGTCCGGGGTCGCTAAGAGAGAGCGGGCTGGGGGAAAGCAGTGTGGAACCGGAAAGGCCAAGCCAAAGCTCGCTTCTTCTCTGCATCGCAATCTGCTTTCGACGCTCCAATCGTCACGGCTCAAAGTGATCCGAAGCTCCGTCGAGCCCTTGCCGTTGCTCGCAGCGTGATGGACGGCACCCATCGGCGGTGGGGCTGCCGAAATGACCGACTAAAAACCAGACCAGCCGCTTCGGCAGATCCGATGCGATGCGGCCTAGTGCAGTGAGCGATGTCGAATGTGCAGCAGAGTTCCAGATGGCGAGGTTCGCCCTTTCCATTGGCTGTGGACCCACCAATTGACTGCTGCAGAGTCTTGCAGGCCTTGCAGCCTTGCCGCCACCTGATTCGCTCGGCAAGGGCGGCGACAGAATCTAATCTAGTCGAGTCGCGCAATTGGTCCAAGTTCGCCCGTCGCTTCCAGCACGCCCGACAGTGGCAAAAAGGATCAACTGCGACGTGCTTTGCCTCCACTTGGTCGACTTGATGCTCATCCCACTCGGCCGCCTTCCGACACTCTGCATGGACGCGCGCCATGCTGTCTCGCAGCTTTGCGGCTCGTACCGATGTGACTGCCGTGGGCCGGCACGCCGTTCCGCTGCTGCGAGCAACAATGCGGAGCGCTTCAGCCCGTAGTGTGGTTTGACCTTTTTCGGAAAAGGCCCTTCCGTGCCAAAATTTAAGGTCGCAAGTGGTGCCTGTTGCTGCTTGCATCCGTGATCTTGTCCCTGAGCGATTCATGCGCGGGGGACGCTCCTGCGCGCCAAAGGAAATCAGAGCCGCTAGAAGCTCTTCGAGCCCAAGCGAACAGACCTAACGTAGCGTCCTCTCTCGATCCACACGCTCCCGCCAATAGCCGACGGTAGCAGACGCCGCCCACAGCGTCCGCCTTGGATCCAATGGGCGGAACAACGAATCGGCTCTGGTACATCCGTACTCCCGACTGTCGGCTGCAGCGTGTGCGTGGAGCGGGCCCACTAAAAAAGGCTTGGCAGCATCGCAAACCCGAAAATTCAATTCGGGCTCCGGGCACACTGGGCACAAGCTCACCGGCAACGTTCGACAGACCAATCAACATCCTGACCAGCGTCCTGTTGTATCGATGTGCTGCATCCGGATCATCTTCTGGTGTTCCTGCGTAGCTGCTGTGTTCCTGATCGACCCCCCACGCCCCCATCGGCGCACTTGGTAGCCAAGCTTAGCTGCAGACTTCGTCCGTCGGAATTGTGGGGGCCAGGCTATCCATGGCGCTTTGTATTCGCCAAGCCTTCCGCAAGGGATCGCCCGATGCATTCATCGATCGGCTGATCTGACCCCACGCACGCCCACAGCGGCTCTGCAAAACGATGCACATGTGCCTGTCTTCGAACCGCGCTGTGGTGGGCTTTATCGACTGCAGATGTACCCCACTTCATGACACGGCGCATGGCTGCCTGATGTCGAACAGTGCGCTGATGAGCTTTCTTATCTCAAAGGCAGGAGCAGTTGCCACTACTACGGACGGGGGCGGTCCCTCAGCTTCGGTCGTTTGATCACGATGTGCGTCTTGTGGCCCATCCAGCTATGTAGCGAGGGCAGAGTGAGAATAAGATCACAAAGAGTTTCTGATGCTGGTAGTATACATGGATTCGAAGAAAGCTCGTGGCAGCAGGAGATGCCGCCATCTCGGGCCATTTACTTGGCGTCGCGCACGCCAAAGGCAGGCTGGGAGTCGGCGTAGGTTCCGTCCTTGTCCTTGTCCTTGTCGTCGACAGCGGGCGCGCTGACGCCCGTCTGCTGCCACTGCGACTCGAGTGCGGCGGGCATCGAGTGGGACGGCACCTCGTCGCGCACCGGTCGTCGACTCGCGCGGCCGATCTTGTACCAAGGCAGGTCGAACAGCTCGTCGATCTTCTCGAGGCTCATACCCGACGTCTCTGGCAGGAAGAAGAGGTAGACGGGCAGCGCCACGACCAGCGACATGGCTGCGAACACCGCAAAGGTGCCGGCTCCCTTGAGGTTCGAGTTGAGCATGGGCTGCAGCGCGCGCGTCGTGCTGTACTGGAAGAGGAAGTGCAGCGCCATCACGAACGACGCCGACAGAGCACGCACGTCGAGGCTGAAGATCTCCGAGTTGATGAGGTACTGCGCAAGGTTACCACCCGCCGACCAAGAGGCACCGGCGATGAAGATACCCGCGATGGCGGCCTCCGAGGCAGCCTTGTTGGGCGCATGCTTGTGGTCGATGAAGACGCCAAGGTAGATGGCCACGTACAGCATCGCAAGCCCCTGGCAGAGGGTCGAGACCCACAGCGTACGGCGACGACCAAACAGATCGATCAAGAAGAACGACGAAAGGATACCCGCTCCAAGCTTGACGGCACCGAAGCCAGCCGACATGACATAGCCTCGGGTATCGTGCACGCCGATGAGGGTAAGGATACGGTTGGCGTAGGTCGACAGCGCACCGGGACCCTGCCACTGACCAAGGATCTGGATAAGCACGCAAAGTACGAGCTTGAACTGGTTGTTCTTGGTGCAGAAGAGCTCGCGCACCTTGCCCATGAAGCCAAGACCCTCGGTGGCCTCCTTCTCCTGCCTAACAGAGTCTACAATAAGCTCGTATTCCTCGACAAACGCTTGGTCGCGAGGCTCCATTCCACGGTACCAGCCGAGCGACTGCGACGCCTCCTCGACACGACCGCGCTTCATCAGCCAACGAGGCGATTCCTTGAGGAAAAGCAAGCATACGAGCACGACACCGTGCAGAGCAAAGTTGAGTGACAGAGGCACCCTCCAGATAGCGTCGGTCTTGGCGTTGATATGAGACTTGACCCCCAGATTTGTGCAGTAGCCCAAGAGCAAACCTAAGTAGACGTTGAACGAGTAAACCGATGTGCAGAGACCACGGATCTGTCTAGGCGCTGTTTCCACCAAGAAGACCGGGGCGACGACCGGAGTAAGGCCGACACCGGTTCCTGCGATAGCACGAGCGGCCAAAAGCATGGCGTAGTTGCCCTTGCTGCTGATCCAGAGAGCGCTGCCGAGCAACACGAGCATGCAGGCGATCTGCGCACCACGGACACGACCAAGACGCTCGGCGATGGGGTATCCGATGATCGCGCCGAGCACCGAGAAGAGCTGGACCATGGCGGTCACATTGGACTCCTTGTTGGATTTGGCCGGAATGTTGAATTCCTTTTCGAACGTCTTTTGCGAAATCATGCCGCCGATCAGGCCTTCGTCGATACCACGGGAGGCACCGAGCAGACCCATGCCGATCACGGCAAAGGCAAGACGCCAGTTGAGCGCCGACTTGGGCGTCTCGGCCAGGTGTGCGAACTTGGAAGGCACGTACATGCTGGCGAACAAGCGCTGCGAGGATGGACGGGGAAGAGGATGGGTGTACGGACGCGGCCGAGTCTAGGCGGGATGGAGCGCGGAGTACAGAAGAGGGCGAAGAAGGATAGGAAGAAGTGGATTGGGATACAGCGATGGGGAGGATCGAGAAGGACCAGATCTTATATGTCTTCAGCTGAAGAGATGCGGGAGCATGGCGGGGAGAAAAAGGTTCGCAAAAGATGGGGCCCCCCTTTGCGACCCCCGCAGCTCGCTCCTGACTGGTCGAGGGCAGAATCAAGAAAAGTCTGGACGGACGATTTGTTGAGTAGCAAGCATTGTGGGGGCTGGCTACCGGCGAAAACCGAGTGGCTTTGCTCTCATGCATGGCAACGCTGCTCCAAGGAGAAAGTGCAGACCATGCGGTCGGGGATACGATGCGGGGCTGCATCTGTTCGCCCTCGGCCATGCGCAGGCAGTCTACAGGTGTACTGTACCTCATGTGCACACTGATCATGTGCGGAGACGAAGGGGACCCCAGAACAGCACACTCCTGCGGTATCGCACAGCAACTGAACCTGCACTCGTGTCCATCTGCTCGCGGTCTAGTGAGGGTGTGCGGGGTAGGGAGGCGTGTACCTGACGTCTCAAATCCGATCGTCTCCAGCACTGGGAAAAGAGAGGGTTGACGACGGCAAGTGCCGGTCAAAAGTGCCACAGCATCGATGTGGGCGGCTCAACCGAGCGTCGTAGGCGAGGTGCCAAGGCACGATGCAAGCGGAGCTCGGACCGCGGAGGGCAGATTCCGTTGGGATACCGTTGGTTGGAGCGGCGAGGTTGTGAACCGCAGGAAACTTGAGCCGTCCATCAGTCATCGCTCAAATTCGCCGAGCAGAAACGCCACGAGTTTGGATCTGCGGAGACATCCGTGCATCCACAGAAGCATCGTCGCTGCCGAGACGCAAGAGCTCGACGCATCCCCAGACGGCTGATTGGCCCAGGCTGATGGACATGCATTCGAGAAGGCTGTCTCCGTGCAAACGCACACGCAGCGCAGCTCTCCGCATTGCATCTGCATCTGCAGCTGCCCGCGTCGTCACCGGTCACCACCGAAACTCTGCAATCAAGACGGCAGCCATCGTGCTGGAGCCAATCACATCCAGTCGAGTGCAAACAAAAAACATTGGGAGTTGCTGGTGCTGTATGGCGGCTCCTCGTTCGGTGAGATCGGTCCTCTGCAGGCCCAAAGACGGCTTGGAGATCAAAAGTGCTTCTCACCCAAGGTCCATGCTTCACTGTATTCTGATGGGCGCACTCGCGCAAACCGTCTTCAAAAAGCAATGGGAATCGCACGCCCGGAACGATCCGGTATCGCTGCTCGAGGTCGCAACGCGGAATCTCAGTGACCGCGGGAGGGTTACGCCGGGCAAGTGCTGTGTCGAGCGGCGGCGTGCTTTGGTTGGGTCGTACACCGGTGTCGGTCAAATTGGGCCCGAGGAGCAGGGCTGCAGGGTTACAGGGTGCAGCGGCCCGGGCGAACAGGTGAAACCCATCGGAGCTGGGCGTCTGGACCGCGGCACGGCAGGCCAACGGTTCTGCCGCCGCTTTCCTCGCTGCCGCGTCGGCGGTTCGGCCGATTTTCTCTCAACTTGACCGGTCCGCTTTGCTCCCCGCGTTCCCACTTCGATCGAATCCTCCCTGTCGCTGTTGGCCTTGCAGACATTCGGCAAGACGGACCCTCGCATACAAGCTCCCACTCTCTCCCACATCGCCTCCCACCTTGCATGCCGCTCCGCTTCCGGGTCGAACCGCTGAGTGCGCATCTTTCCGAACGCCAATCTCGTCTCTGCCAGCTCGACACATTGCTCCTTGCCACCACCATTGAATGTTGCGCTGAGCGCAATCCCTGCATTACTTTGCTTTGGACCGGGTATCCAACACCTCTAGGAATCTGTGGCGAGCAGCATATAAAGCAAGGCGTGGTCAGTGGATCGGCCGGGTCAACGATACTGTGCAAGAGCTGGTGGGTACCTACTTTTCTGTGGGGATTTGGACCCTGCCAACGCCGAGCGCCTTGAGGCGTTTCTTGCCCTCTTTTTGCTTGTTGAGGTGCTTGAGCTTGCGTTCGTAATGTCCGCCGTACAGGCCGGCGGTGACGTCCTTGCGGTACGCCGAGAGCGTCTCCCTAGCAATCACCTTGCTGCCCGTGGTGGCCTGGATGGAGACCTCGAATTGCTGACGCGGGATGATGTCCTTGAGCTTCTTGGTCCACGCTCGTGCGTTGTACAGCACCTTGGACCGGTGCATGATGATCGACAGCGAGTCGAGCACCGTGTTTGATATGAGAAAGATGAGCTTCACAAGGTCGCTCGCCTGATAGCCATCTTCTGAGTACTCGAACGACGCAAAACCAGACGAGCACGACTTGAGCTTGTCGAAGAAATCCGTCACAATCTCGGACAGCGGCAGTCGGTACGTCATCTGCACCGAGCGAATCGCAGACGCCGTGGGTGGGAACGAGACGTCGAGTTGCTCGCCGCGGTGCTCGGCGCACAGCTGCATGATCTCGCCCGTGTACTCTTCGGGACACCGCACCACGCCGCGCACCATCGGCTCCTCGAGCAGCGTCACTTTGCCTTTGCGCTCCGAGTCGTCGGGAAAGTGGATCGGATTCGACACGATCTCTTCGCGGCCGTCACGCCACGTAACCTTGTACGGCACCGACGGCGCAGTCACGAGAATTGCATGGCCGTATTCGTCTTCCAGCCTCTGTCGGAAAACATCGAGGTGCAGCAGACCAAGGAAGCCCAGACGGCAGCCCTGGCCGAGCGCCATGGACGACTCCCTCTGCACGGTGACCGAGCGGTCGTTGAGCGCCAGTCGCTGGATCGCCTCTTCGAGCTTGAGAAAGTCGGTCGTTTCGATCGGGAAGATGCCGGCGTAGACCATGGGCACCGTGGGCGCGAATCCTTCCAGCGGCTCCACCTTTTCGGACGAGAGGTGGAAGGTGTCTCCGATCTGCGCCTCGCTCATGTCCTTCATGTTGGCGATGATCCAGCCCACCTGGCCTTTGCGCAGCACATCCGTGGGGATCATCTCGGGCGAGTTGACGCCGAGACTGAGCACTTCGTATCGCTTGCCCGTGTGGCACGACGTGATGCGGTCGCCCTTCTTCACTGCGCCGTCCGCGATGGAAACGAGCGAGACCACACCTTTGTACTGGTCATACCAACTGTCGAACACCAGCGCCCGAAATCCCGGTCCCTCCCTACCTTCGAGCTTGCCGTCCTCCACACCGGGTGGCGGCTTGGTACGCTCCACGAGCGCACGCAAGACGCTGTCCACACCTCGGCCGGTCTTGGCCGAGATGAGCAGCGGCTCCTGTCCCGGCAGCGTAGTGTCGATGCCGAGAATCTCCTCCATCTGTAGCGCACAGCGATCCGGATCCGCAGCGGGCAGATCGCTCTTGTTGAGAACGGGTACGATGGCGAGGTCCTTCTGCTTGGCGAGCTCGAACACGGTGATCGACTGTGCCTGCACACCCTGTGTTGCGTCGACCACGAGCAGAGCGCTCTGGCACGCCGAGAGCGAGCGGCTCACCTCGTACGAGAAGTCGACGTGGCCCGGACAGTCGATGAGGTTGAGCAAGTAGCGTCCTGGCTTGGGTGCAAAGCCATCGTCGAAGGCCGAGATAAAGTCGTCGCGTGGCCCGTCGTAGTCGTACACCATGGTGACCGCCTGCGACTTGACCGTGATGCCCCTCTCTCGTTCGACCTTGAGCTTGTCGAGCACCTGCTGGTTCGAGCCATCCTGCGGGATGGTGCCGGTCAGCTCGAGCAGACGATCCGCCAGCGTCGATTTGCCGTGATCCACATGACTAATGATGGAGAACGTTCGTGTCTCCAGCCGGTCGAACTGGGAGAAGTCCCGCGCAGCCGCCTTGGAGGCAGAACCGGAGCTGGACGATGCGCTTGCTCTCGGCGCTGATGTAGAGATCCTGCGAGACTGTGCCGATATCCGTGTGGTGGGAAAGCGGTGAAGGTGCGAGGAGGAAGGCTGTGACGGCACCGAGACGTCCGCCGCTCGAGCGCTAGGCCGCGCCGAGGGCCCTGCTATTGCGACGCTTGATCTGCCCGCGACAGACGGCCCAGCTCTCCGACATGCTGATCGCAACATGGCACCGCTACCGAGTTCCAGCAGTTCCCACCGTCGTTTGCAATGGCGTGCGTGTGTGAGGCGGAGTGCATCCAAAAGTGGAGCGAGCATGAAGTCCTAAAATTCTCGGAAGACCTTGGCGGAAGTCGGTATCTCGGGAATCGGACTTCTGACACCATCCCCGCCACCCGCACCCGCACCCGCACACGCACTGGCACCCGCACGCGCACCCTTCCGTTCCGCACCTCGCACACACACAGAACAGACAAGAAGACAAGAACAAGAACGAAATCTGATTGCAAATTGAGCTGAGTTGAAGCGAGTCTAGAAGGAGCGCTCAGTGCTGTCTGCGCCCATAGCCTGGGTTGCGGAGCTGCCGGAGCTGACGGCCTGGAGCATGCGGTCGACGTACGCAGCGCCAGACCACTTTTGGTGGGTGAGCACATCACAGCCGATCTCCTTCTCCTTGCGCTGGACGAGCTCGACGTAGGCGAGCATGCCGTCGGTCTTGAATCGCTGCGAGAGCTCGCAGGTCATGGCGCCCGTCGAGTGGAGGCCGGCAAGCGAGATGAGCTGGAAGACAAAGCCGGACTTGGCGAGATCCCAGACAAAGTTCTTGAGGTCCTGGTCGGAGAATCCGTGTGCGCTCCAGTTGAAGCTGGGGCTGAGGTTGTACACCAGCCACTTGCCCGGCAGGTCGCGGTGGATGTCGGCAGCAAAGCCCTGCGCCTGCTTCAGATCCGGCGTCTTGGTCTCGAGCCACAGCATGTCGGCATACTGGCCAAAGATCTTGACACGCTTGGTCGCAGCGGCCACACCACCCTTGAAGTGGTAGTAGCCCTCCTTGGTGCGCGGAGCGTCCCAGCACCATGTGGGAACACCCTCGGCGCCAAAGACCTCCTTGGCGATGGCACGTGCCTCGCCGTTGGACACGCCGCCGGCGACCTTGGCGTTGTAGGCCTCGACGCCCTGCTTGTTGGCAGCGTTGTGCTTGGCCACAGCCTCGTTGAAGGTGAGCAGCTCGCACTTCTCCATCCACGCCTTCTCTGCGGCGTCGACTTCCGGGCCCGAAGCGCCCCTGGCTTCCAAGGCGGCAAGAGTGTCGGCAAGGCTGCGAGTGCCCTCGGGCAGGTTGAAGGCGCCCTTGATGTACTCGTGGTCGCGTGCATCAATGCTGGACGAGATGAGCTTGGCGGACTCCGAGTCGGTACGCGCGATCAGGATGTTGGACGAGCCGAGAATGTCCCAGGCGTATCGGGTAGAGGTGAGGCGGTTGACGTGCTCCGAAGTGGGGACGAGCACCTTACCGGCCTGATGTCCGCACTTCTTGCCGCCGTGCAGCTGGTCCTCGAGGTGAATCCCCGCCGCACCTTGCTCGGCAAAGAGCTTGGCGAGCTTGAAGACGGTACTGAGACCGCCGTGTCCGGTGTCAGCGTCAGCGATGATGGGGCGGAGGTACTCGACCCAGGGCGTCTTGGCCTTCTGCTCGGGCGTGAGCTGGCATCGCTCGTCCCAGTGCTTTCGGTCGTGGTGCTGCTGCGCTTTGAAGAGACGCTGGACCTGGTTGGGAACGGTGGTGTACGGATAGTCGGCAAGATCCGGGCCAACTTCGTTATTGCAGGTGGTCAGCACCGAACTGCATGCCCAGCCGGAGACGTAGACAACCTCCTGGTTGTGGGCCATCTGGGACTGCTGGATAGGGTCGATGGCACCCATGGTGTGGGCTGGGGTGCCTTTGGCAAAGTGCTCGGAGAGGAGGTTGAAGAGCTTGTCGGCCATGAGCGAAGAGGCGGGGGGCTGGACGGGCATGGATCCGCGCTTCGAGACGACGGCTTCCGGACCGTAGGGGCGCTTGATGCCCTTGAAACGGGGGCTGTCGAACCATTCCTGGACCTGCTTGACCGCGGCGTCGTAGTCGGCCTGCTCCTGCTCGGCGGTGGGCGCTTGCAAACGGAGCGGGGCTGGTGGAGGGTTGAGCGATGTGGCGTTGGTCGAGTTCATCCTGACAGCGCCTGCGAAGGTCGAGGGTGCGGCGAACGCAAGGGACGAACGGCTGGCACGCGAGCAGATGCTGAGGCGGGCGACGCTGTGCGAAGGAGCTGCGGCGGACTGAACTCGGGCAGCGTTGACGCGTGCGAGACGGGCGGCGACGAAGCGGGAAGACATGGTGCTGTGCGCCGAAATATTCCAGCTACGATGCTGGATGGTGTTGGTGGTTGCCAAGCAAGCAGCGACGGCGGATGACGGAGATGGATATGCGTCGGCGCAGTCGGTCGGATCAAGAACGATGTGAATGCGAAGAAAGCGATTCTGTGGGGCCGGCCGGTCCAAGCGAGCGGCCGCAGCTCTGAGCCCGGAGCTAAGCCGACACCACCGGCTCACAGACTCTTCTGAAAGCGCGGTTCAGCCGTCTTCCCCGCAAGTGCCGCTCCTCCGCTCCACCGGCCCTGTGCGGTTATTCGATACAGGTGTGCTATCGGCCGGGAGGTGACAGCGGGGTCCACGGTCGCGTCTCGGCGAGCTGAGCGGACCTAAATGTCGCATCTCGTTGAATTTTTCTCGGCGGTTTGGAAAGTGATGCAAACGTTCCAGCTTCTCCACACGCGGGGTGTGAGCTGCAACTTTGCAACTTGCCGGTGGTGCCAGTCTACCACCATCTCGTAGGAGGCGGCCGCTGCTGAGCTCAGCTTAGGGATCGTCATCCTCTTTCCCACCTCCATTCTTCGCGAAGCTAGCGCCGTAACAGGACTCGACCTCATACAAGATGATCTGACCAGGCTTTCCGAACGCATAGAGTTTCTTGGACCCCCAACCCCGACCACCCTACTCAGCACTCGACAGGACTGGTAGGCCGTCATGGCGCTGTCTTACCTCGAAGTGACTGCGCTGGAAGATATGATGAAGCAGGTCAATCCGACCAGCTGCCTGCCGCGCATCAAGGAAGAGCCGAGCGCAGACGACCTCATGCGCGCACTGGCGCACCTTGCCGACCTTTACTCGCCGCGCTCGCTGACCACGCGGGAAAAGACATGGATTACCTTTCCCGAAGGTCGATGCTCGAACGTCGCGGACGCGGCACAGTACGCCGATGCGCTCGACTCGGTGCGCGTCGACGAGAACGAGAAGCGCTATGCGATGAGCTGGCTAACGCGCCTCATCGGCTCGGGACTCTACTGGCTGGACTCCGAGGCGGGGAAGGTCACATCCGACGAGCTGGTGGATCTGGCTGGGCGCATCCTGGGCGGACACGCCAGTATCGAGGAAGCCGGTGCCATCACCCGCGAGTTCGTCTTTCCGTTGGCAGTACCAGTGCGTGTGCCCGACATCGATGCATCGGCACACCAAGACGCAAGCGCTTCCGACACGATCACGATCACGCTTCGAGACGATCCACTGCCGCCTTCAGACAAGCATTCGGAAGCCAGCACGCTATCGGGCGCGGGCGCAAGTCAGGACGCGGCTGCAGCTGTGGGTGTCCAGACGTGGGGCGCGGCCATCGTGGTGAGCGATGTGCTGGTTCGATACCCTAGCTTGTTCCATCCCACTCTCGGGCTGCGTACCGGGACACCGCTACGGATTGCGGAGCTTGGTGCAGGCACCGGACTGCTAGGTATGGTGGCAGCAAGATTGCTGCAGCAACGCGGCACGCCAGCTGATGTGGTGCTGACGGACTACCACCTGCAAGTGCTCAGGAACCTCGAACACAATGTTCAGGAGAACTTTGGCCTGTCCTCCGATTCCAGCGGCAGTGTTTCGGTCGGTGTGGAGCATGTCGACTGGCTCGAAGTGCATCGCAGCATGCAGCAAGGCCATGCTCAAGCAGACGATGCCGATACGGACAAGTACGATCTGCTGCTGCTCGCCGATGTGATCTACGCACCTGAGCACGCGCTCTGGATCCGCTCGACGATCGAGAAGCTGCTACGCAAGCCCTCACCCGAACGACCGGACGAAGCTAGCGCGCGCGCACATATCATTATGGCGGTTCGTGGATCCGGCAAGTTCGAAGGCCTGTTCAAGACGGTGGATGAAGCATTCCAGCCGCGCTGCAGCTTTGGCGGCGTGCCTTCGCTGAGTGGCTCGAGCAGTGCTACGCCGTTAGATACGCTGCCAGGTACGCCAGCTCTGGTGTCCGAGACGAGCGCTGTGGATGTGCACAAGACCAACTCGAAGCACGGCGACCTTCTGCGCTCGCGTATGGGTGCCCTCTCTCACCAGGCTGGATTCTCGCAAGGCTCTCCCGAACTCGCTATCGTGACTCGACGCCGGCTCGACAAGCGCGCTAACGTGGGTCGGAACGACGAGCAGGAGTACCTCTGGTTCGAGATCGGCTGGACTTTCCCCACGCTTGCCGCATGAGCATTTGTCGGCCCCTTTGATACCCATTGTTCGCATAGACATAGACGATAGATACGTAGACACTCTTGGCAGTTCCGAATTCCGCATAGACTAAATGCATAAATGTGTGCACTTTGGCTCTTGGCGATGTTGCAGCGAAGATCTTCGCGGCTGTTGTGCGGGGAGCCGGCTTGGCGGAAAACGTGAAAGCTAGAGGGACAATGCAAACAGATGGTTCCCATGTGTTGAAGGATGCATGAGAGGCAGAGCCGAACGGGGTAGCCGAGGGCGGGCGGTAGCGCCAGTGCCATTTTCCGGGGGCACAAGGAAGGGTGGAGGTTGCAACGAGAGTCGTATTCCGACGGACCTGTCAGCGAGGCTGGTGCCTCTAAAAGGCTTCGCTTTGGGCTGCCTCCCCTTGCTTCTACTTGCTTCGCACTTCCACCTTCCCCTTACTCCCAGCTGGTCTCTCAGGCAGAATACACAATGGTGGCGATCAACGGAACGTACGATGTGATGCTGGTGCCTTTGCTGATGCCGATCGCGGACATCCTCAACTTTCTTCCGCCCAAGGTGCGCTCCATCGATCCGTCGCCGCTGATCCCCTTCACGCACGACGAGATCACGGCGCTGGGGTTGAGTGCGGATCAGTACAATGCAGGCACCAACCATCCGGTGATGCTCGAGCTGGGCTACCAGGACCACACTGGCCCTGGCCCACGCTTTTTCCGACCGAGCTTTGACGAGGCCAAGCTGGAAGTGCTCGGGATGCGACACCCATCGCTGAACGGCAAGCAGCCGTCGTCGGCAGAAAAGGGATTCGTGTACAAGCAGCTCATCCTGTTTTCCAATGTGCTGCTCGCGACTTCGTCGAACCTCATCGCGGGTCTGCGCAGCAAGCTCGTCACCATCACACCGTCCAAATCGCCCTCGATCTACAGTGTTGATGAGGCGACCATCTTGTACAACGTCAAGGACTACCTCGAGGTGGTCTTCAGCAAGGACGGGGAGCAGGGATCGGTGGCGGGGAACGGTGCGATCAAGTGGGCGGGTAGGCCGTGGTACGGCTGGGCGACGGGTGACACTCTGACGCAATTTGTGTTTGATGCAGAACATCCCAAGATTGCACCTGTGCCGTACAAGGCGGATACGCGCGTGCGGCTGCCTGCGTTCTACGACCCGTCCAAGGCTTCTCTTGCCGGTGCGGTGCAGCCGGAATGGAGCGAGACCGACGGCGTCGCGAGCTGGCGCTTCCAGGCCGACTACTTTAGCAAAGACATCAAGGCCGCTGATGCGGTGTGATCTTTCGCATAGTCTCTGTAATAGCTCAAAGGCCATACCCCTGTAGCAAAGCGTCGCCCTGCGTGTGTGTGTGTGTGCGCATCTTGTGCGGTCCTTGCGCTCCGATGGAGCAGAGGGGTGCGTGCTTCTGGCCCCTGATTGAAGATGGTCTAACACGGACAAATTCGATGCACAGCGGATGACGGAAGCCTGTGAAATCGAGCTTGGGCGCCGTCGGGGCCTGAAATCGATTCGAGCCTCTCAGGCAGATTTCGAGGCTCGACTGCGCGGCTCTGCCCTGAAAGCGGCTAAGCGAGGCCTGCCGGGCGATGCCAAATGGGGACAACGAAAATTCGACTGCACGGCTCGACGGCAGCGGGGAATAGTGAGAGAGAGGTGCGAGCGAGCCAAAATGCGGGAAAATGCCAAAAACTGCCGCCGCCGCCGCAAAGGAGGGATCGTCGCTGCGCCAAAGCAGCTCTCTGCCGTGTGGGGCGGGGTTTGGAGGGTGCCTGCAGTTTGAGCGCTTCAGCCCAGCCAAACAGCAACTTTGCGCTCCACGCTCAGATCGCGAGCAGCCCTTTTGCTAGCAGAGAGTACACTCGACGTAGCCCCAGCTGGCGCTTCCCCGCATCATCCCCCGCCGTCGTCGCCATCACCTGCCTTCCTCCCACCTCCTCTTTGTCATCGTCCCTACACACGCTCCCTGAATCCCTCTCTGCTGCACGGCTACGCGATATCCTCTCGCTCGACACCCTATCTACCATTACACCTGACAGCGACATCGACAGGCGGTAGACTCTTCCATCCACCACATCAGGACTGCATCCATACATCGCCGCTGCTCCATCCTCACCCATTTGGACCGTATCGATCCGGGCATCTCGCCTTTTCTTCAGATAAAGACACACACGATGGCTGCCTCGACAACAAGAGCGGCGGCACTGCTGGTTGCCGCGTTGGTGGTTCTTGCCGCACACACCTCCGCGCAAGTTTCGAGTGCGTTTGCCGGCACCTCGTTCCCACTCTCCGCCTACAGTGTCAGTCCAACCTTCACGCCCGTTACGACGTTCCCGTCTGCGCAGGGGGGCAATCCAACGGTGATTGGAGGTCCAGGTCCCTCGCCCGCCACCAGCTCGTATAGCTTCTCGTACACCGTACCCACCTCCACCGTACCCGCTATCTACCCAAGCGGTGTTTATCAGAGCCTGGCCTCCGCGGGACTGCTGAACACCGCGAGCGATGCAAAGGGCCTCGCTCCCGATCCCAACCTCCTCCAGATCGCTACCAACGCTGCAGACTCGTTCAACTTGGCCGCGGCAAAAGCCGTCTTCTTCACAGTCGCCGCCGCTGCTGTTGTCGTCGTTCTGCTCTAGCACTATCACTGTCTTTTTCTCCGAGGACCTGCCGCACTCTTGAGTCGCTTGGCATCCAACACTTCTTTCCCCCCCCGGCTCCGTTTACACTCCCATCCCCCCACATAGCCTGGAGATATCTCTCCCCCCTTTTGTTACTTGTCGCTCTTTGCTTTGGATACGCTATTTCTGCAACGATACGGAACGCTCCTTTTTTTCCCACTGACAGCCTTGTTTGAAACGCAATGATGGTACGAGTGATTGGTATTGAGTCGGGTACAAGTACAGGTCGAAGTGGTGGTGGGTTGTGGCTGTGCGCGGGCGTTGTCATTCGTGCGGCTGCTGATCATGAAGATGCCGGGGTGTTGGAATCCACCTGAGTCGTTCCACCGGGGGCGTTGTTGCCACCCGCAGCAGGCGGTGCGTTGCCTCTAAACCTCTTGCGCATGTCGAGCTATCATCCGCGGCCATCAACGTGAGTCAGAACATGAACCTTGCGATCGTCGCAGCCAGGGATTGCGAACTCACCATGCCGCGTCGACACTCGACAAACGACTTGTACAGCTGCTGGCACTCGAGCGGCAGCTCGGCCATGTGCGACGTGATGCACTCCTGTGCGCTCTTGCCGTCCTTGAGATAGCAGTCGGACTTCATCACGCAGTCCGCTAGGTCGTTGCGGATGTACAGACACTACACATCGGCAGGTTGAGCGTGTGAGTCGTCAGCCGTTTAGGTTCAGGCAGGATGCGGCAGAGGGATGGACTTACAGACCCAACCATCGTGCTTGTCGTGCGAGCTTGCGCTGTGGATGGTGCAGAGGATACAGAGTGGAAGGACGTCAACGTCGCATTCGAGTCGGTGTAGATGGAAATCGTCCAAAGTGGAGAAAATGCAACTTTCTTCCTCCACCGCAACCACCGCCGCGCCGCACCAAAAAAGGCTCCGTGCCCACCTTCCCCTTTCCTTCCTCAGCACCTCACCCAACACAGACATATTGACGCACATTGACACGGAACGACACTTCAATTGCACTTCTGCGACCTTGTTCGAGGCTATGCTTCACGCCAGCAGCCTGCGACGGCTCGACATCTCGGTCTCGTAGCGCCGCTCGTCGTAGTTGTCGGTAAACACGTACGGCATGAGCGTGAAGAACGCAATGATGGCGGCCAACGAGCCGCCCAGAAGGCCCGATGCGATGATGCGGTGCTTGGGTGTGGCGAACATCTTGAGCTTGGGCGGTCTCGGTTTGGGCGGCTTGGTCGGATCGTGCGGTCGATGGTCTCCAGGATTCGTTGTGTTGGCCAGCAGCGGCGCGCTCGTGTTGAAATCGCTCAGGAAGATGCGGTTGACCGACTTGTCGGCTCGGATCATGGGGTAGTCCTGGTGCGACGTCCCTGCGATCACGTCGAAAGTATGACTCGGCGGAAAGCCGCCCATGCGTCCGAGCGAGAGGACGAACTGCGAACCGCGGTCCAAATGGCTTCCGCCCTGCGTCTTGGCTTGGCAGTGCGTGTCACCGGGTCCGGTATCGGCGAGTCCCACGGCGTAGTGGACATTGCGCGAGCGGAAGCGTTCCACCACCGCTTCGCGGCTTGCATTGACGTCGCGCCTCGCATAATGCACGACAGCCGAGACGTTGCCCAAACCATATCCCCACTTATCCCACCCGACACACGTCTCGTTGGGGTAGGGCCGTTGATCGTCGAGCCACACCCACGAGCCTGGGTTGCCGATCCAAAAGTGCACGTTCGGATCGTACGCCTTGGTCTTTTTCAGCACCGAGTACCTCTGTACCGCCTGGCCGCCCATCGAATGACCGCCAAACACCACCTGCTTGATGCCGGGGAACTCGCCCGAGGTAAAGATCCAGTCGGTGATGTTGTCCAGCACGTGGTACGAGCTGAGGTTGGTGTGTGGCTGTTCGTTGCGCGCCCGGTGACCCGACTGCCACTGCGATCCATGCCAGAACAACTCGCCCTCCTTGACCGCACCCGCATCCTTATCGTCCGAGTTCAGGAACACCGGCCCTACGATCATCACCTGGTCCGCCGCGATGCCGTTGGCGGGATTGGACGCGGCGACGCTCAGTGCGTTGCGGAAGAGGTTGGCGTACTTCCACGAGTCGCGCGGCTTGCCTGGCATCGTTATGATCGCACGCTGGATCCGGCTATTGTCCTCGCCCGGTCGATAGTTGGCCGAGATGTACATCGGCATCACCAACCCTGGGATCACCTTGAACGTTCGGTTGAGTGTAAAGCCCTCCAGATCCGGCACCGACTTCCACACGGGGGAGCCGTTGGGACCAGGTTGGCTGTCCGCGTTCGGCGTAGCTACAAAGGGCACCTGCGATAGCCACGGTGGGTTCGAAGTTCCACCGTCGTCTTTGATGATCAGCCAGTCCGGGTTGGGCGCCGAGCTATTGTTTGGGATGTACTGCATCTGCTGGATGCCTTCGGCGGCGTTGATCGGATCCGGCTCGTCGGCGATGTACTGGTACTGCGCCTGGCGCTTGCTCAGAATACGGTGGGTGCTGCGTCCCACCACCGCCGCATCGCAAAGTAGGAGCACGCCAGCCAGCACCGCTAAGGCGGCGGATAGGAGTGTTTGTGACACCATGGTGCCTACTTGCGAGAGCTGCTTCTGATAGTGGTGCGGTGACAAGCATGTTGAAACGACGAGCAGGAGGTGCGGAAGCGTTGTGGCTCGGTGCTCCTGCAGACGGTGGGCTCAAGCTCGACGCAGGTGCATGCGCAAATGAAGTGTCCGGCAACAGGCGCTAGGCCTTGCGACGACAAGACGAGTGGGTTCCGCATGTTCCACAGCGCATGTTCCACAACGGCATCAAGCGCAGCAAGGAAGAACAGAGTAGCAATTCGAACTCCAATCCTTGCAAGCGTATCCTCAATTCCGCCATCTCTGCGCAGAACCTTAACTTTGACTGCGCCAGCGAGGGTGATGCAGCTCACCACCCTGGATCAACCATCTTCGAGGCGACGAGGGGCACGGGACAAGTCGAGACCGGTGCAAGCCGCCAGCGTGCATTCACGTACGACACAAACCGCCACGATGGCAACCGAACGACACCGCAGATTCCTCAGCCATAGCGATCTTGCTCAAGACTGCTGCTCCAGACTCTCTCTGATCCAAAGACGTCGATGCACCGGTGCTCCATCGGATCCCACGACCTGACATGGCCGGCAGACACGTCTACAGCGGACAGGTGTGGTGACCCTGTGGTCGCCACCAACCCATCCCGGGCGGGAGGTGCGCAGACACCACTCCACTACCGATGAGCGGCTTGCTCGACTGCCCATGCGGCTTTCCTCCGACATTCGGGCTTCGAGACGTCGCAGAGCAATGCTGGCAACGAGTGCAATCTTGGACAGTCTCGCGGCAAAGGCATGGCGGCCGCCGCGGCAAGGTGCAAGCGAGAGGCAGACCCTGGGATCGCGCTCCATCTTGGATGGCCGGTGATGGGAAAACGTGCCGGGCAGGGTTTTGTGTCAGAAATTCGCCGTTGCGCGCCGAGCGGTTCGACGTTTCGGCGCGGCGAATGGCGAATGCAGCCGCTCATCATCGCGCCGACTGCTTACCGCAAGCCGAGAGTGCATAGCCTCGTTTCTTCCCGCTCTCCGCTGCCAAGACCCTTGGCCCGCACTCAGCACCCTTATCGCCTGGTACCGATTCCACCATGGCTGTACCGTCTCCACCACCATTGCGCTTCCTTCCCGACCACTGCTCCATCTAGCCATGCCGCCGAGTTTGCCGCTTTGTTAAGCAGCACGACTACAGGTGCAGACTTCTTTCGCAGGATGGTTCGCGGCATCGGCCTCGTTCTGGTCCTGCTGTGCTGGACGACAGCTGCGGTGGCGCGCAACTACACGCTGCGCGACGAGATCACCGGACGCAAGTTTCTCGACGCCTTCTACTTTTGGGCTTACAATGACCCAACCAACGGCACGGTCGAGTATGTTGACGAGCTCACCGCCGTCGCTAATCGGCTGGCGTACGTCGATCCGAACGGACGATTCGTCATGCGTGCCGACAACACCACGCTCATCCCCTCCGGCAAGGGTCGACCGAGCGTACGCATCCACAGCAAACGCAAAGTGGCCGACGGGATCATCGTAGGCAAGTTCAGCCACATGCCACAGGGGTGTGCCACCTGGCCGGCGTTTTGGACGTGCACCACGGAGCAATGGCCGAGGGGAGGTGAGATCGATATCGTCGAAGGTGCCAACGATCAGGGACCGCGCAATCTCGCCAGCTTGCATACGCTGTATGGCTGTCACATCCCTGGCGGATCGCGGTCAGATCAGACGGGTTTCACTGGACAGGCAGATTGCTCGTATCAGCCTGGATGCTCGGCCTCGTTCAACGCAGATCGATCCTACGGTCCGGGCTTCAATGCCAACGGTGGCGGATACTTTGCTGTGCGGAGGGAAACTCGACCTGGCGATCCGGGCATTGGCGTGTATTTTTGGCCGATCACTACGGCGATCTCCTCCCTGCCCGCCGCTGTTGCTGCAGCTGCAGACGGTACCTCGGCTCCAAAGTACGTTGTGACCAACTCCAACGCCACGGGCAACGATCGAAGCGAGCTCAGCAAATGGGGCACCCCTGCGGCGTTCTTTGCAAATACGCCCAACGCCACCGCTTCGCAAACCGCGTTGGCGACAGGACAGGGCTCGGTGTGTCAGATGGAAAACTACTTTGACGAGCACGAGATCATCATCAACCTCTCGCTGTGCGGTGACTGGGCAGGCGAGACGTTCGGGTACAGCGGATGTGCAGCACGGTACGGCAATGTCTCGTGTGAGACGTTTGTACGCAACAACCCCGCTGCCTTCAGCGACGCACGCTGGGAAATTGACTACCTCCGCATCTACGACAATGCCGCTTCCTCCATGCACCTCAACTCGGTCGGCTGCATCCTAGCCGCGGTCCTGTCAATAGCGCTACTTCTATAGATCCCCTAGAGCATCATCTGTACAATAGACCACGTGTGGAACAAAGTCGGTTTCAGCGTTGGTGCAACGACAGCCAGACCGAAGAGCGAAAAGCAAAAAGAGAAAACTGCAGCACCTAGGATTCCCGCGT